TGTAAATAAAATGGCCCCATCCGTGTAATATATTTTTAAACTTTTAGTTTAAAAATGATTAAAACTAAACAGCCTACATGATTTTTACAGTTTTTATTTTACAGTTAAAACATATGTTTATTAAATAAAGTCTAATGTTACAACTAATCAGGGTTCCCTTTAAGGGCAAGCAACAAATTCCACACTTTGGATAAGTAGAACACTTTACAGTGAAATATGCTGATTTGTATAAATGTTTTTTTAATTCCAAAAACAAACACTTTAAAAACCATCCAGTCCAAATTACAAGCATAAGATATATCTATTTAAGCTATCCTTTACGTCTTTTTGAAGGCAAAGATATCATTTCAACATCGTTCACATTTAAAACAAATTTGCACAAATGTTCAGAGAAATTAGACCTAAAATAGGAACAATTAAAAGAGTACAGATTCTCTGTAGTTCAACTTTCCAGGAATTTATCATTTTATAACTGAACTCACTGAACTCAAAGTCATTTCCTTCTCTATTCTATAGTATGAAGAAAAAAAGAAAATGTTTTCCTCTTTGTWACTAGACAACTAAATCCATCAAGTCCTCCTGTATAACTGTGCAACCATTTCACCAGTGTCGATGCAAAGCGTGCTGCATACAGCATGCAAATACGCACGTGATACGTGTTTACATACTGCACTTACATCTGCGAGTTTTGTCTGACTGAAGTCAACCCCGCGAACAGCCGGTACACAAGTAGGACTGTTTACTTTTTTTCTTTTAAAGCACCATCTGACATGAGTTAATAACTTTGTCACACTGACCTCTAAAATGTCTGAGTTGGTCCTGCTCTCGTGGGGCTCGTTGTACTCGGTGTACTTCAGCAGGACTTTGTCCATGTCGGTGCTGGCGTACTGAAACAGCTTGTTGGAGCTGTTGAAGATGATGAGAGCGATCTCACAGTCACACAGAACACTCAGCTCATAGGCCTTCTTCATCAGACCAAACTTTCTCTTCATGAAAGTCACCTGGGAAGGAAAAACAAAAAATAAATATAGGTCTACTTTTTGAGAAGAAAATAACTTAGAGTCATCAGATACATCAGTCATGTTCAGAGCTGCATTATCAAACATTTTAAAGGGTATTGCAGTTAAAAAAAATATGACATTTGTAATAATTCTTAGCTAAATCATAGCTGAATGCAAACGCAAAGAGGAAATGAAAGCCAAACTTTACCCAGATGCAAATAAATCAGTTTTTGCAATAAGTTCCTTTCGTCTGAAAGTGAAAATCTGACGTAAAAGTTCTAAGAAAATGGATTCTTCAGCAGACGACTGAAGTCCATCTCAGTGAAACAGGACTGGTAAGTCTCTGACATGATGGATGAGAAATTACTGAGTATTAAGGCACATATTTTTAATGACGAAAACATTTCTACTAATGTCACAGCTTCCACAGCTTGATGGAGTTCTCTTCTTTGCTGCCAAGAACGTAGAGCACTTTTCTGTAACTGTCCTGTTGTTTAGCTGCGTATAAAGAAGAAACCATCACTGTCGACACCTCCATGTTCCTCGGAACCACAAAAACAAAATATATAGTTTGGAGTGGCTCATTTACAGCTCTAACACAACCCACACCAAACCCACAGGTCACGCATGAATGATACTCTCATAGTCTGCAGCCCACTCCCTGCCGTGAATCATCTGCATTTTTCTGAACGTGCCTTTTTCCCCCCTCTGTTATTGAAAAGTCTCACTTTTTTATGTGTTAGAAGTATTTGGTTTATAGACTTTGCAGATCTAACAGCTGCAGAACAGATTTACTGGACTAGTTTGGAGCTAAACACTTGTTAAAAGCATCATAAAGAGCAGCAAGTGATGATGGGAAATGTTTTTAACGCCAATAAAATAATACAAACATTTAAAAAAGGAGGGGGGTAGACTATGCAAAATTGTTTTTTTTAAGTGTATATATTGTATTAAAATGTCATTCTCTCATTAAAAACATATGAGTGTTGCTGTGACTCATTCCTTCATGTTTGAAAGATCCTTGAAGAGACAGAGGCCAGTTTCAAGGCGTTTAAATAAACTATGATGCAAAGTCAAATTTATTTTTCTTATATTCAGCATTTTTATAACAACCGAAGGTAACATAGTTACTTGATTATGGTACAGAATTGAACTACGTGCCTGGAAAATACATCCTTAAAAGAACAGATCTGTGATTTCAGTGAGTTTGGTAAAATAAAGGTTAATACATAGAAAAATAAATGGGGAAGATAGATTTTGAGATACAAATCCCCTGTTTAAAGAAATCCAGGATTAGTTGTAACGTTAGACTTTATTTGATAAACATACTGTATATTTTAACTGTAAAATAAAGACTGCAAAACTACTGTAGGCTGTTTAGTATTACAATTTTTAAACTAAAAGTTTAAAAATATATTACACGGATGGGGCCATTTTATTTACACACAAAGCATTCTGGGTAAATGATGACGTGGATAGGTCCTCTGTGTGAGCGAGCTATATCCACTCTGAAGGTTAATCTTGGACAATATCTGATGATCGACTCTTTTAAATGAAACCAGAGAGCGTTGACAGAGAGGAGAAGGTAGAAAAGACTCAGCCTGTAACAGAAAATATGGATGGAGGACAACAGAGCTGCTTCATGGAAGAAGAACCTCAGCTTAGCCTGTTAGCTTTAGCATTAGCCCCGATGCTATCACCATGTATATTAGCTCAGCGCTACACATTCTCCTCTCGTCACTGAGGTCCTCCATCCACATGACAGAGAGGGAAACACAAAAATGACTCAGCCTGTAACTGAAAATATGGATGGAGGACCTCAGTTTAGCTTGTTTGTCGCGCTAGCGCTGAGCTAATACATATAAGTCAATATAGTGTCAGAGTTAGCGCGAAGGCTAACAGGCTAAGCTAAGGTTCTTCTTCCATGAAGCAGCTCTGTTGTCCTCCATCCATATTTTCAGTTCCAGGCTGAGTCATTTCTACCTTCTCCTCTCTGTCAACGCTCTCTGGTTTCATTTAAAAGAGTCGATCATCAGATATTGTCCAAGATTAACCTTCAGGGTGGATATAGCTCGCTGGCAGCCTCACACCGAGGACCTATCCACATCATCATTTACCCAGAATGCTTTGTGTGTAAAAAATGGCTCCGTCCGTGTTAAAATATATTTAAAAAAATTTACAAAAGTAAACATCCTACAGTATTTTTACATTCTTTATTTTACAGTTAAAATAAATGTTTATCAAATAAAGTCTAATGTTACAACTAATCAGGGATCCCTTTAAAGAAACAAAATTTGAAAAAAGGACTCACTGTTAGCTCAACAATCAGGTCAAAATTCTATTCTGTTTTACTTCTCTAAACTGAAGCCGTTCAAAGCTCTCTCTATGACAGGTATTTGTTCATAAATCATACTCAGTATCATCTGAACCACATGACCTTCAAATAAATGTTCATGTTTCTTGGCAAACAGTAGTGCTGTTGTAACATGCATGATAAACTGAAAACGCTGACTAGCAGCTGAAAAGAGTTGATGTGCTTGACAGATAAAAGAAAACCAGAAGATGGCTTCCTAAAATAGAGCCTGGAAGCTAAATATATGACAGGCTCTAGTGACCGTACACACCAGACAACTAAAGTAGTGTCCATCTTTAAAAAATGCACTGGCTAACACCAAACATCAAATGTAAACATCATCCCAGATATTTATTTTCCAGCCACACATCCCTATTTCCAGAGGCTGCTCCCTCCTTCCAGACAGGCTGGTATTTGTTGTGTTGATATATATAGAGGGGACAGACAGCGAGGGATTCCAGTGGGCAGCGGTGTGGCTGCGCTGAGAGACGTGAGGAGAGAAGGCTGCTGTGTGTCCCTGACGCTGACCCACCCTGCTAATGACAGGGTGCTGTCCAAACCCGGCTAAACCAAAATTACTGCCCTCACCGCCACCAGCTGGGAGCACTGCGTTGTCAGAAGTAAGAGTTGGAAGGTGCTTCAGGGGCTCTAGATCAGAAATTCAGGGCTCTAGATTAGGGCTGCACTATATACAGTACTGCAAATTTATCATCATCGCGATAACAGCCTGTGTAATAGGCATATCGCAAAAAAAAAAAAACTGTGTAAACTGCAATAAATAATGTAAATAATAATAAATAAAAAATAATAATATAAATAATAGCTCAAATGTTTGCAGTCGTGTTTTGTCAGCGTCAGTCTGATACACAAAATAAGACCACATGAGTGGAGAAAATGAACAATTCAAATAAGAGAATACAGAGTTGGATTTAGGTTAACATTCATTTAACACTCTTTAACCTAATTTCATATGTTTATTTTTATTATTCTTCATAAAAAGGCTGATATTAAGGGTCATTTTTCAGTAGTAGAGCWTCAGTAAATAATTAATGGGCTTTAATACACGTTTTAAAGGCATTAGGAAACTGTTTTGCATGCAGCTTGTTATTTCACTAGCCATGTTTTCATTTAATTGTAATGTGAATTTTGAGCATACTTTTATTATGTCGCAAAAAATAGAACTACTGGTTATGTAGTGAAACAATGAGGCTACGCAAAGCGTAATGACATCAGACATTTATGTTACGTTGGCTGTAGCAAACAGGAAGTAGAGGTTACAAACTTGCAGGGACCACACATCTCAGGGCAATGGAGAGAAGTTATGAGGAACGTGTTGCTATTGGGAAAGTTGTAATTGTTCTGTCATATCAACTAGTGTTGTTGATGTTACAGGCTTCCAGGAGACATAAATAAAGAAGAGCAGCTCTCTTCACATTATGGGAATATCCAAGAAGACGCAGATAGAAACTGCAATCACGTGAGGCAAATGTTTGCTACATCAGAACTTATTCTGCTAATGTGTTTCCAACTCCCCTTTTGCACATTAGCACTTTTTTTTTTTTTGGGAAATCCAAAAATCACTTCAAGGGAGCGTAAAAACCTTTTTGCAAAATTTTAGATGTTTTTTCAAATTTTGCCATTTCTATCAACCATTTCTAATGTGAAACTTCAAAATGTAATACAGCAGCTGTGTCTAGTTGGACATTTTTAACATAAAACTGTCATGTTGCTGTGGAAATTATGTAATAATTGTTGACAAAACCACATACTTAATTTGGTCATATATCACAAGTCATGTCATCATCGCACATCGCAGGTTTTCCTGCCATCATGCAGCCTTACTTTAGCTCAGATCTTAGTTCATCCTTGTTGGTTTGGGTCTGAAATGCGGTATCTATTCAGTTCTTTACAATAACTTGATGGACTTTTTATTGATAAATAAGTCCATCGATTTATCAATTGTTTTGGCTCCTAGAGTCACCTTCAGCGCAAGTTCACGACTGGGTTCATCAGATTAAAACACTGAAATAAAACTGCAGCCTGTCATTGTTTTTCACCTTAAACTTGTTTTCTCACACAGACCTTCAAAGATTTGAGGAACTTAAACACTGCTGCAACCTTATCTACACAGAACATATGAGCACAAGTTTTTTTATTTGTTTATTTTTTCAAATAAAATGTAAGAAGACAGATGAGGAAGGTGACACTGACCTGTCGGTTCCTCTCATCTAAAATCCGGGTGATCTGAATCTTCTTCCTCCCCATCGCCAAAACCAAGTCCTCCCGGCCGTCGGAGAAGAGTACCAGTGGGCTCAAAGTAGGTAAAAATTCAGGAGGCTATCCTCACATACTCCCACTGCCAGCTGCTGTTACTTCGGCATCAGCTCGGCATGGCTTACTGGAAAAGAGACAGAGTCAGATCAAACCTTGTCTCATCACAGAGTGACTCAAAGTTACAGCACATTCATCACATGTTCAATATCTAACAAATGATTCTACATGTTATATCACCACTTTAGAATAACAGCAGAACAGATTTAAGGTAATTTACAGGCAGCCGGTGACTTTAGGAAACATGTACAGGTGTATCTTTATGGTCCATTCCTGCAACAGTTACGATAATATTAATTGATTAATTATTTTTTGTCATGCGTGTCTCTTGAATGGGTGTTCTTAAATGTAATTTCATTGTGCTCTGTACAATGACAATAAAATGCATCATCAATCAATCAATCAATAACATTTTAAAAGTAGAAATGACAGCAGCTTCTTTTCTCCTGACAACAAAAAGTTTTAACAATTACATCATTTTTCCATGACGAGCCAGCTTGTGTGACTGAACACAACACTGGAGTCTAGAATTTATTTTCTCTTTATCAGAATTCCAGATTAAAAAAAAAGAATTCCAGATAAAGGAAAAATGACACACGAGCGCACGGAGAAGAACGACATCAGTAAAAATCTGCTGACAAACCTCGTCTGCGTTCAGCCCTGTGCCTGCTCCTCCTGCCCACCCGCCCCACTCTCTTCAGCCTCAGGGTTTCTGAGCTCTGCCTCCCCGCGCCCCCACAGCTCTTTAGCACTTTTCTAATCTCATCAGAACTGGGAGGAGGCAGAGGTCCAGGCTTTAATCTAAACCCTCTTTGGACCTCAGCAGAATGTGGAGCCCAGACCACAAACTTTAACTTCAGGAGGAGGAGGAGGAGGAGGAGGAGGGACTGTCATTTTCCTCCCTCCATCGTACAAATATTATTGACCTCTTGTGCTGATTTACATGAAATTTATCTTCTATAAAAAAATAATACATAGAGTGCCAGCCATTGAAGTGACACATAAAATGAAAAATAAACCAAATTGAACAGAAAATCAATAGTAAAATACATCTAATGCTTTTTTATTTCCTTCTGGACTCATGAACTGGCGTGTCATTTTATGGGTTTTGTCCTGAATATATTTTTCTATTCACACAATCACTATTTGCTTTGCCTGAATGTTATTTTTCCACCTTGTTCACACCCAAAGTCTGGTCAGGACCAGCACACTTTCACAAAGACTCTTTGCATTATTGGGGTTTAAGTCACAAGAATGGACCCCTGTTCCAATCTGAATGATATCGTGACAGGAACAGAATGTTTTAAAGAAGAAGAGGGGAAAAAAAACCCTCCATCACTTTAATCTGCAAACACTGCTGCATTTATTTCAGCTCTGCTCAGTTGGAGGATGTTTCAGTTTATTTGCTGTTTTAATGTGATGTTTGAATCAGCTGAACCTAGTGTAAAAATATTGGGCCTCATGCAAGAACATGTTCGTATTCTTATCCTAAATTTCTCTTACTTTTGTTCATATGAAGGGTTCGTACGAACATGTCACGTCAGATTCAACAAACTCTTCTATCTTCATGAAAAGTGTGTAAATGAGCTGCGTAAACTCCACCTGTTCGTATCCAGCTGCTCGTGCATGCGAGAGGAGATTAGCATAATTACCACCCCAAAAACACCATATAAGGCTATGTTTCCTGTCTCAGATACAAGGAAGTGTTCATTCATGAAAAATGACAGCGAAAACTAAAAAGAAGAACTTTACGAGTTCAGAGATTGAAGTCCGTCTGTCAGAGATCCAGAAAAGAAAATCTGTCATTTTTAGCAGGTCAGCTGTGGGATAAAAAGAGCTGCTAAAAGTATAAACAACTGTGTTAAATCATTTTCATTTATTCAGAAGACACAGCGCTGCACACCGTAACACCCCCCGCACGCTGTCTCAAGTGGTCTCAGTTGTGGTTCTGAAATAAGCATTTTAAAATGTTTTCAAAATAAGTCTGGCACTTTGGAGAAAATCCAGACTCACTGGARGGATTATGTATCTATATTGTTATATTGTTAGTCTAAATTATTACATTAAAACAGTGGTTCTTAACCTTTTTTGAGGTACCAAACCCACCAGTTTCGTATGCGCATTTACTGAACCCTTTTTAGTGATAAATAAAATGTGATTTTTTTCCCCCAAATTCAAGATAGGTAATGTTTTTTACTGGTGTATAAAATGAGCCGTGCATGAACATCACCTTGCTCAAAGAACAAAACCAACACAGTGCACGAACTCACAACAAATTACAGTATGACTTTATGCTGGCCCACAAAAAATATTTTGGCCCCATAAAAAATTTCAGCCCCCCAAAAATATTCATTTTTTACTGTTTTACTAATAAAAAAAATAAATTAGGATTTATTGAAGTATTTAAAATTTTTAACAACTTTTTTTATTTTAAAGTCAATTTGTTTTTTGTCATTTTGAATCTACAAAATACTTTTTTGGTGCCAGCACTGATTGGCTGAGCAATCTCACATGATCCTCTGCAGCAAGTGATGGCCAAGTGGGGTGTGTCATCACGACTTTACACAAGTGTGTCTTTACCTCCAGCAGAGGCTCCGCCGAACCCCTGAGACCGGCTCATCGAACCCCTAGGGTTCGATCGAACCCAGGTTAAGAACCACTGATTTAAAATTATAACTCTAATTCAAGCAGAATAACTTATTGTCAACATAATTATGGAGTGTAATTTATTTTCAACTCAAAATATCTTCAAAGTAACGAAATATAAAGTTATCAGTAAAGAAAACCCGTCTGGATAACAGCAGACTGACTGCTCGTAAAATATACGACAGGTCTGGACCACTCGTGAATTTTGTTCGTATCTGAAAAAAATCTTAGAATACGAAAACATTGGTGAATGCCACAAATTCTCCTAAATCACTCGTATGCACAACTTAAGAACAAATCTGTGCGTACGAACGGTTCTTGCATGAGGCCCAATGTTCTTAAAACACCAAAAAAAAAAAAAATCTTTTCTAGGGCTGCTATTATTAAATTCTTGTGTTGATATAATTGCAGCGATTTGCTAAGGCTTTYGCCTAGAAGTTTAAATTGATAATTAGATGCTCACAGCATTCAAAGAGAATCAAAGCTTCTCCCTTGGAGAGAGAGGGTGCTGCAAGAATTAAAGGCCAGCTGATATTTCTCATATCACATCTAGTGTCACATGTTTTTGTCTTTAAAGATATTAAAAAGCGCAGCTAACAGTTTAACATCTGGTCACAATTCAAACAAAACATCTATGGGAGTCACCAGCTTTGAGTTATGAGATTTCACAACTCTGCAGCACAACAAACATTTCACAACCCAGCTGCTAACAAAACGGACAGAAAAACAAAACAAAAAATTAAATAAAAAAAAAAAAACAACACAGCCGATTAAGATCAGGGCGAATCAGTGCAGAACCAAAGACACACACGGCTCATTTGAACACAAACACTGACCTACTGATAGGATGAGCTCTTTGGATCAGGTGAGGACAGAATCAAATACACTCTGGTTTATTTTTTTCATATTACCTATTTTCAAATGTGTTTTTCTTCTCTTTTTCTTTTTTTTTCTTCTTTTTTTGCTTGTTTGTTTTAAGAATGGGCCACAGAGGACAAAACACATGCAGATACGAAACAATCAAATTCAACAATTAGGCTGCGTGAATGAATGAATGAATGAATGAATGAATGAATGAATGAATGAATGAATGAATGAATGAATGAATGATGTAGAAAATACATTTCTAGATGATCGATCAATCTTGGAATATTTGTAAAGTTCCAATTCTTAATACTTTAGGTTGTATTTTCTACCTTTACAACTTATTTTAAAGTGTCAGTGACATCCCTCTCCTTTATATTTAAAAAGTTTGGTATAACACACTATATTTTGCCCATTTTGTCACATAACTAGCTTATTTTGGGGCGGAGTGGTTAGGGGAGTCATCCTGGAACCAGAAGGTCACTGGTTCGGTCCCCCGTCCAGCCGTCTCAGTCGTTGTGTCCTTGGGCAAGACACTTCACCCACCTTGCCTACTGATGGTGGTCAGAGGGTCYGGTGGCGCCRRTGCATGGCAGYCYCRCYTCTGTCAGTGTGCCCCAGGGCAGCTGTGGCTACAGTGTAGTTTGCCATCATCAGTGTGTGAATGTGAGTGTGAATGGGTGAATGTCTGTTAGTGTAAAGCGCTTTGGGGGTCCGGAGGGACTTTAAAAGCGCTCTATAAGTTCAGTACCATTACCATTTTCTTTTGAACTTAGCTCAGCCAAAGTGAAACAGGAAGTGACATCAAAGGGAAACTCTTAAAAGAGTTTTCTTTCTTTAAAATAATCTAAAGAAACATCAGGTTCTTCTCTACGGTCCGTGTTTTTAGTTATTGTAGCAGGGCTCTGTTTGCATGCAGACTTTCCACTTTGACATCACTTCCTGTTACTTTACATGCAAATATCTCAACAACTGTTTCATCTCAGCGGTGCAAAATTTTTTAGCAATATTTTGTCAGTGTTACAGTATCTTTCCAAAAAATGTCTTCATGTTTATTACAAAAATTTGATGTCACAGGCACTTTAAAAATAGTCTTTTTTTTAGTGTATGATATGTAATCAGTTGCATGTAGACGAACTGGGACACAACAAATAAAATAATTTCTAACTGATAATCTAAATATTTTGGGATTGTTTTCTACAGAAAATTCAACAGCTCTACCATGACCTGGAAAGGAAAAGCATGTAAATTAAATGGATTGATCTTAAAAACTGAGTCAACTTTTGTTCTGTGACAGTAAATTTATGTCAGGCTGTGAAAAAACAAAGTGTGTTCCTCAACACTTGTCCAGCTGCCTCCAGACTAAATGTTCTGATCAATACAGATGTAATTTGCTACCGTGGCAGAAACTCGATCTGGATGATGTGAAAATCAATACAGCACAGTGGGAAAAGACAACGAGCACTCACATACTGTACACGTCTTATAAACAACTGGTCCAGATGGTTTGAGTTCACAGTGATATCCACATCTTGTTACTGATTGATCTCATGACTGAATGAGGGTTTGAACCCAAGAGTGCAGGCAGACCCAGGTGGCTTTCAAAAGATAACTAAAACTTTCAATAGCTGACATAACAGCAGAAAAAAACCTCACAGAAACTGAAGGACTGATCTCCAGAAGGCACAGAGGAAACCGGACATGGCATATACAATGAATAATGCTCCACTGAGGAGGAAATATATGGAATGAGACAGAGCAGGATGTGGGAAACAGCTGAGCTTAWGAGACACAACACAGGTGTGAGTGGGCGTGGCTAAAGAGCAAGAGTTGAACTGAAGATGGGGACTGGGAACAATTCTGAACTGATGGCACAGAAAATAACAATCAAGAAGTAACAGAAACACACAATGACAGATATATTCCCTTAAATTTTATTTAAAAATTCTATCTTAACTAGTGGATTTAATAATTAAATCCAACTTGTCAAACACAAAGCAGAGCTGAAGTAAAAATCTGGCATTAATAATATTTGTGCTACGTTTTATGCTGTAATAAACATTATTTTTTTTTACATTAAATGAACCAATTAAGGTTCTTTCCACTTTGGTTGACAAGTTAGTTAAACTTTGCCATTTTGAAACATAAACATGTAGTGCACACGTTTGTGTGGCAATAAAACAAAATGTCTTTCATACTGAACCAGTGTTTTTAAAGTGAGACCATCCATATGAATCTTTTACAGCACGTGTCAAACTCAAGGCCCACAGGCCAAATGTGGCCTGCAGGTGACTGCCGTCTGGTCCACCAATAAGCATATAAAAATATTTATAATCAGCTGTAAACTTTAAATTTATCAAACAAAATTAAGCAATATAAAAGGTGAAAGAAAATAAGGCATTTTGTTGAATAGCCCGACATTAATGTCTCAAAATAAGCTGCTTTAACACAAGCTTTGACCATAAGCTACATCTCCCATAATCTATGTCAATTATTTTACTCACGAAATGATGGCATCCCACCACTGGGTCACATGTGGAAAACTCAAATGTGACAATGAGAGGAGGATCATGATGTTTTTCTTTTTAGTCGTAGTTAAAAACAAAACATCAAAGTTAATTACGACAGACTCTTTGAGGGTCGCTCTTGTGGCCCCTGCTTAAAGAAAGCACTAAACTCACAGCCAAACTACATTTTGATCTCAGCTGAAAATCTAATTCCTGTTGACTTTAAGGACATTATGTAATGTAACGCAGTTTAGCCACAACAATAGCAGAATCCACTTTGTTCTTTTTTAACACCTAGATTTCCATTTAGCATTTCAGTGTTGGTGAATGAAGGTGAAGAAGCTAAAGACACACATATTAGGAAAAAAATACTTTTGCAGGCCCTAAATCTTTAAGTTTTGTTCTCTGGTTTTGGTTTGTGCTTTTCATTTTAAGGATGTCACTGTCATTACTTTTAATAAAGCTGGGGGCTTTTCTGCTCCCCTGAAGCACAACAGTGTCACAGCTCATGGTTAAAGTTTGTGAGATGACAGCATAACACTGGCATGTTGTTTTGTTTAGGGCTGCATCCATGTGACACACGACAGGAACTGCAACAATTATTAATAATGAGATGATTAAACTCCTCCACACAGCTCACTTCCTGCTGACCACATCACTTCCTGTCCAACACTAAAACCATCAGTCCAAGAACAACACCCCCACACACCAACCAGCAATAACATTTCTTATTCAACTAAACATGGCATTGTTTGAATACGGAAATAAGATAAACTAAACAAACCAATATACAACAAATGATTATATAACTTTGCAGCTTCACTAATAATGACTCCTATATTAGTTCTGTTTGTAGACCCACAAAAACAATTAATAAAACATGGATTTTACTTCTGGGGGTGGGGGGGGGGCGCTACTTGCTTTATGAAAAAAAATTATGCTTTATGAAAGCATAAATTTACACGACTCACCTTCTATTTTGTGCCACAAAAATATTAACATGTTTGTCAGTCAATTCTATTATCAAAAACATCTTCAATAGCCTCTCCTTGGGCTGCTACCTTATCGTGGTGGAGGGGTTTGAGTGTCCCAATGATCCTAGGAGCTATGCTGTCTGGGGCTTTATGCCCCTGGTAGGGTCACCCATGGCAGACAGGTCCTAGGTGAGGAACCAGACAAAGCGCAGCCCGAAGACCCCTTATGATGAACACAAACACTGGATCTGACGTTCCCTCGCCCAGACGCGGGTCACCGGGGCCCCAATCTGGAGCCAGGCCTGGAGG